TATCCTTAACTGTTTCAGGCATTGGTAAGTTTTGGAGGTCAACAACACAGTTGTCAGGAATGGACCAGGTATTGTCGTCACTCCATTGATGACCAAGAAAATCTACATTCTTTCGCCCAAGGAACACACTCTTCTTTAGATTGATCAACAGGTTTGCCTTTTCTAAGGCTCTGGTCAGTGCTCCAATGTCATAAATGTGTGCCTCTTCATCACCATCCATCGACTTCAAGTAAATATTGTCTATGTAGATTAACAACTTTCCTTTCAGTGATTCTTCTGCATTCAAAATCTGTTTGATGAAGGGGGTGATCTTTAGTATAGGGGAATATATCAATCTTTAGTATAGAGGAATAATTTGACCCATAATATAATAAAAATTTATCCTTGAACAATAGTTCAATAATAAAATTTTACTTTTAATTATATAAATATATACTATAATACCTTTCTCTAAATAAAAAGGCCCTGAGTTTATTTTTATTTTAGAAAATACTTGTATAGATTTTTTTTAAATACTTTAAGAAACTTCAAGTTTGATTAAACAAATAAAATATATTTATTATTAATTATATAAGTAATATCTTTTAAAGGGTAAATTTTGGTAACCAATAATTATAGGGGCAATCATAGCCAAATAGATGTCCAGCTTTCCTAGTAAACTTTTACCCTTCAAAAATTATAACCCTACCCATATATATATAACGTATTAAATGGCGAGGGCCTGGGGGGTCCCTGATAGGCCATGAGATAATCATCGCCTAATCATTAATTGATTTGGATCATTCCGAATCATCGGAATAGTCCAAGGGTTCCGATTGTTCCGAACAATGGACCCTGAGGATACTTGTTCAGAGCGTTAGGAACAATAGATAGTTTTCTTTTATCTTTTATATACATTACTAATTCTTTTACTAATTGTTTGAAATAAACTTTAGGTTGAAAGGATTTAGTTATAGGTATATATTTATTATCAAAGTTTCTATTTTACAAAAGGTTTTACTTGGTTGTTTATTGCAGCCAATCCTATGGATTGACAGTCCCCCTGTAAAGGGGGAACAGCCCGCTGCAGCCCTAAAAGCAACACCAGAGGTGTTGCGAGGGCGGAGGCAAAACTGTTATATTAATATATATTATTAATTCAGAGGTAATTGTCTATATAGGGTAATTATATTCCTCTATACTAAAGATTGATATATTCCTCTATACTAAAGATTGATATATTCCCCTATACTAAAGATTGATATATTCCCCTATACTAAAGTTGCTCCGATGAAGGCCTGGGCAATTGCAGGTGATTCTGAGTTTCCTTGGACAAGACGAGTGGTTCTCAATGGCCCAACTTTTCTACCAAGGAAAGTCCAGAAATCTCTGTAGTCCTGATGTAAGCGAATAGCTGTGAAAAATGATGCTAAATCAACTGAGGTTAGTAATTTAGCACCTTGTAAGAACTTCACCCAGTCCACTGAGGTAGGTAACCTAATACCAATAGTTTCCATATTGATGGAGTTGTTAGTACTATCATCAAATAGTACTCGCTTCTTATCAGTGCCAGGACAGTCAATACCAAAGATTGGGACACAGGCATGTGCATGGCCTGGTTCATCGATACCAAAGTCAATATGATCTTTCACAAACTCCACTCTGGCTGCTTCAGCAGCTGTGCTCATTGTGTGTTGGGCAACATATAATGGTCTTGCATCAGATTTGAGTGGAGGTATTATAGGAGCGTATGCAGCAGGTGGTGGGCATCCACTTGTATATTCACAAAGGGCACCTTTGCCTGTCATCAACTCATCTATTAACTTTGACTTTATGATGGGATTGTCTGTTTGGATGTTACATCTGATAGGCCATGAGATAATCATCGCCTAATCATTAATTGATTTGGATCATTCCAAATCATCGGAATATTCCAAGGGTTCCGATTGTTCCAAACAATGGACCCTGAGGGTATATGTTCGGAACGTTAGGAACAATAGATAGTTTTCTTTTGCTTTTTTATATCTAATACCATTCTTTTACTAATTGTTTCTAATAAACTTTAGGTTGAAAGGATTTGGTTATAGAGATATATATTTATAATAATACTCATTATTATCTTAAAGGTTTTAACTTGTCAGTTTATTATAGCCAATCCTACGGATTGACAATATCGACTCTCAACATTATCTTTCGAAATTGGGGGATAGAGGGCATCCAATTTATAGAACTCAGCATCCTTTTCAGGCTTGAAAAATCCATCAGGGAGACCAAGACTGGTCTTTATTTCTTTGATTTGTACTGGTTTTGTAATGGGCAAATCTTCCTTGCTTTCTGCAGCAATACTATCTTTCTGTTCTGACTGAGGAGATTTTTCAACATTCGTTTTCGCTGTAATTCCCTTTTGCTTGTCTATTCTTTTTTCCATTGCTGGGGTAAACATTTTTATATCAAAGTGTGCAGCATCTTTCTCAGGTATCATAACATCCCATGGTTGATCAGCTTCTATGACTACAAACTCAACCCATCTCTTCTTTACTCCAGACAGGTGTAGTTTGGCTCTTGTAGTTCCCACCACTGGGATCTCATTGTTTGCCAAATCAGATATCTTGACCATTTCATTAGTTTTTGTATTGAGGTTTAGTTTACTTGCTGTAGATGATGGGATTATGCCAACTGCACTTCCAGTATCTATTGCTAGTTTTATGTCAGTGTTACCAATCCTGAATCCTTCATAAATATTCCAGTGATGCTTTAAGTGGCCCTTATATGGTTGTATGATTTTATTTTTCAAAACTTGTTTTAAACAACCTATAGGAAATACTTTATAAGGGCCGCTTAAGCTTTTCCCACCTGGATATCCTTTGTAGCTTTAGGAGAGTTGTTAATGGTGAGTTTGTTTACCATGGTTATAACTCTGTCTAGCTTGGCACTGAGTTCTTTCTGGGGGTTTTGAACAGTTTTATGGCCAGTTTTGGTTTCACCATCTCTCAGAGCCTGTTTAGTGATGGGGACTATTGGGGTAGAGGTCTTGCCCTTTGCCCTTTGGGCTGCTACAATATCGAAACGATCCAAGATGTTGTTGAAGGTATTCACTGATACAGTGTCTAGGCTTTCTACCAATACATCAGAACTTTTGTCGGTTAGTATCACGATATATCGGGCTGTATCTCAGTATATCGCACATACATTTTCAGTACAATAATTTTAGTATCGTGTGCAGGACTTGGTACCATTTTAGTATCATGATATACTAGCCTCCAAAACTGAGTCAAAAGAATTTTTAAAAACTTTTATTGCATATTACTCAGCCAATAATTAAGCTAAGCTAGTGATTTAAATTGCAATAATATAGAGAATTATGAGCACTATGTAATACAAAAAGAAAATTCAAGATTAGATTAAAATTGATTTTTTGACACTCAAAAGACTCATGATATGAGTGAGTCGATATTTTGGAGATTTTTTCAATTTTTATTAAATATAAAAAAACAAAAAAATAAACCTAATAACTAATAACTAGTAAATCCACCATGTACTCTCTTGACCTCTTTAAGCCTTTTAGGTATGCTATGAACAAGCTTAGTGCAAACCTCTTCACTGATATTATTCCAAATATCTACAACTTGATCCTAAAGTTCATCAGTATTCTTAGCCTGTGGTTTGGTCTTGAGCTGTCGTTTGATGTGATCCCATAGATGCTCAATTGGGTTGAGGTCTGGAGAATGTACTGGCCATTTCATTACTTGAATTTTATTTGCTGAAAACTACTCTAAGATTCGTTTCGCTTTATGGCATGATGCATTATCTTGTTGAAATATAATCTCATGCTTATCCAGCCCATACCAATTGATTGTTTCCATTAGCTCATCATTTAGAATATCCTCATACATCTCAGCATTAATGCTACCATCAACTTTGGTTAAATAGCCAACCCCACATGAAAGCATACAACCCCAAACCATAATCGAGCCTTTTCCAAATTTATATGTTGGTAGTATATTGTGATCCTGAAGCCTAGTACCATGCTTTATAAGTGTTCTCTCTCTTCCATCAGATCCACAAAGGTTGATTTTAGTTTCATCAGACCAAATTACTTTGTCCCAATCATCCAATTTCTTCTTGATATGGGTCTTGACAAATTCATGTCTTTCCCTTCGATGAGATTTTTCGAGCTGTGGCTTTTTCTTTTTGTATTTGGAAACAATATTATTAATACGAAGTGTTCTCAAGATAGTATTGGGTGATACAGATATTCCTGAATACTCATTAAGTTCCTTTTGTATTTGGGTTGCTGTAGAACACTTGCCTGTTGTTGCAAGTCAAGAAATATAGGATGCATCATATTTATCTAGCTTCCTTGGACGGCCAACTTTGATATTGTTATTAATATTATTACTATTCCTAAGTACTCTGGAGACTGTAGACTGGCTTATAGCAATACTTTGAGCAATTGAGTAGGTTGAGAGACCCTGTTTACTAAGCTCCCTAATTTTATCTTTGACCTGAGCTAGAGTAATCTTTGGCATAATAAAATGATACAAATAATACAGTAATATTATACTTATCTACTGGCTAATTATTTATTATTAGCTCATAATTAATCCTAATAGCAATTAAAGTATTTATGGGTAAAAAATTAAAAATTGAAAAAATCTCCAAAATATTGACTCGCTCATATTATGAGTCTTTTGAGTATTAAAAAATCAATTTTAATCTAATCTTAAATTTTCTTTTTGTATTACATAGTGCTCGTAATTCTCTATATTATTGCAATTTAAATCACTAGCTTAGCTTAATTATTGGCTGAGTAATATGCAATAAAAGTTTTTAAAAATTCTTTTGACTCAGTTTTGGAGGCTAGTGTACTAACATGATACAACATGATATTAACATAATACAATATGATACTAACTTGATATTAAATGATACTAACATGATACAACATGATACAATATGATACTAACTTGATATTAAATGATACTAACATGATACAACATGATACAACATGATACTAAAATGGGGAACTGGGGTTGGCCCAGTTGTGAAGGGTGGCTCCCTTCACATGTTGGCCTCTGGGTTCAATTCCCAGGTTCTCCACACTTTAGCAGGTGTTGAAACTAGCAGTGCTGGCAGCGGGGCTTAGGTCACGCAGGTTTTATCCATAATGTTGCCATTAATAGCATGAAATGAGCCGAAGCCCAAATGGGTATGGCAGCTGTTAACCCCACTTAGCTAGTGGGCTCCAGCAAGGGCGAGGGTTTTTAGTGAGTAAGAGTCTCACACTGTTCCAGAGTAGCTACTGGTTTGCCCATGATGGGTTTTCCCTACACTATATAAAAAAAAAAAAAAATGATACTAAAATGGTACAACATGATACTAACCTGATATTAAAGGATACTGAAATAATACAAAAAGATACAAAAATGATAAATAAAAAGTATCTAACTCATTTCTAATTGGTTTAGATGAGATTGGTCTTAAAAGAAATCCAAAAGCATCTTGACAGACCAGGGTTGTCCGGGACGAGCCTCAACTGTTCTGGGAAAGTTGTCGCTGAAAGACTTTCATTCTGAACGGTTAAGAATCGTTCAGAATGGTAAAGGAGGGAAAAGCACAAGGGTGCGTAGATAGTAGAATAAAGGTGTCGTTCAGGATGACTCTGAACGGGGAAAAGGGAGGTTAATACGAATAGTAATGGGGAATCGTCCTGGATGACAATGGATGGAAAAGAATGAACTTAAATGATAAACGATAATGTTTGGACTATAACTCTTCAAATCCTTTCAACCACAACTTTATTTTTGAATAAATAAAAGTATGATTTTATAAAAGGTGATGAAGGTAGCGAAACTCTTCATTGAACTAACTAAACTAATAAAAAGGGAATGACCTTATGATTTCATAGCGGGATACCGATTGATCCAGAATCACGCTGATTAACTGAAAGTTACTCTGAATGGTTCTGGATCGTCCAGAACGAGTTTGATTCATTCAAACTCAATTGTAGCGATCCATATAGGCCACGGCCTAACATCACCCCCTTCCTTACGAGAAGCCTGGGTTAGGAAGAATTACTCTCTGTTCCATTGGTACTTTCTTCCATGACTGGGCATGGTTGTCTCCGAATTTGAGGTGCTCCATGTGGTGCTCTTTGTTGAGGTCGGCGGCGAAGTTGACGAGGTGGTGGTGCCGGTGCTATATCAGCCCATCTCCTTCTTCGTAGTGGTTGGACTCGTTGGGCGATTTCATTAACAGTGCGTACTTCGTCTGGATTGCCTCTGCTTAGCATTCGGTTTCTGAAGGCCCTAGTAGCCCATTGAGTGATTCTGTATTCAGGGGATCCGTTAAATGAAGGATGTCTACGTCCCCATGCCCTGATTACTAGGTCAATATCAATATTTCTCAAAATACCAAAGGGGTTTCTTGATCTGTCTGAACCAAAGTCGTTCAGAACGATAGGCCTCACTTCAGAAAGTGTGGCTGTGAAATGTCCCAGATTATAACGTACCTGGTTGTCTGCGTCTCTAAACACTTTACCAAAACGAGGGTTGTGACAGGGACTCAACGTTCTTCGATGTCTCCCTCCTGGAGGGGGAGTATTTATTTGACGATGGAAATCGTGTTCCTGACCTGAATCATATGGACTTTCTACTTCAGGATCACTTCTTCGTTCCATAGGGTTGGGAAGTAGAATATCCGATTGCGATGACGCTGCTTCTGAAGGCTGTGCTGTACTAGCGGCATCAGAGGATTCCGATGTGTCTGACATGTTTGAAGCGCTAGAGGAGCTAGATGATTCTGAACTGTTAGAAAAGTGAGGGGTTGAAGCCGATGAACTTGTCAAGCTAGACAAGTTGGAAGAGCTAGATGATTCTGAGCTATTCGGACGTTGGGGAGTCGAGTCGGATGAACTAGAGGGTTCTGGCGTGGGATCCCTTTTTTGTTTGGAGGTCATTGACGTGCTAGCGGGACCAGACGTGTCTGGTTGTTCCTGCTCTTTTCCTTTTGATGTATGCGTAGTCTGACTGGAGCTCTCCAGTGGTTGGACAGTGCCAGTCGATATTATTGTCTCTGTTTGCGACGTTGATGTGTCCATAATAGGAAATTGAAAGGATGGAGGTATTAAGAGTGAAAGTTTCTTTACCTGAATATTTCCTCGTTTATATGCGTCCAGGACGGATTTGTCAGGGAATGCATTGCTCGGTTCCCATGTGTCTTCGTCAGAGTTGTAGCCACGCCAATGAACCAAGAATTCTTCTTTACCGTTTCTTATGCGTGAGTCTCTGATAAAATCAATTTCAAAGTGATCTTTTAGTGGTGTCGGTTCGCGGTCCAGCGCCACTAGCTGTGACAATGCATAATTGCGAGGCAACAGCTCACCCCCCTCCGAGCGCAGAACATAGGAGCCGCCCTTAGTGATGCGATCCACAGTGAAAGGGCCGTCAAACTGAGGCAGGTTGCGGTGTGGCTTAGGAAATATACGAGCCAGAACGGTATCACCCACTGACAAATTCAGCAGAGTTTTAGCGGTATCAAAGCGTTTCTTGGCCTCAAACTGATAATCAGACAGGTGTCTAGCGACAGAGGCGTGGATGATGAGGTCACGGAATTTGCACAGGAGCGCAAGATCAATCGACGGGACTGGTTCAGAGCCAGAAAAATCTAGCAGGAAATTGAATGAACGGCCAAACATCGCCGTTGCGGGGTCCATGCCGATGGCGTTAGAGAATTTGGCGTTGATGGAGAATTGGACAAGGGGGAGATGGAGGTCCCATTCTGTCAGTGAACCATCAGTGAGTTTCCGAAGTTGTTGTTTGACTGTCTGAACATGGCGTTCAGCGAGACCATTACCGCGTGGATGGTAGGGTGTCAAAAACCTGTGAGCGATGCCGTAGTTCTTACCTAGATGCATGAGGGTGTCATTCTTGAATTCCAAGCCATTGTCAGATTGGATGACTTTGGGAAACCCGTAGCTACAGAAGATCTTAACCAATGCATAGGTAACTTTGGCTGCTGACTTATTGGCCAATGGCAGTAAAAAGATGAAATGGGTACACACATCAACGATGACTAGGATGTAATGGTTCCCACTCTCAGTCGTCCTGAGCGGTCCAGCAAGATCGATTGCAATGTGATCCATGGGCATGCTAGCCACAATGGGTTATAGAGGTGCATAGCGAGTCTTGCAAGGATTGAAAGCTCGGCAGGCAGGACAGTCTTTGATAAATTGTTCAGCGTCCCTGTATAAGGAAGGCCAGTCAAATCCTTGCCATCTGATAGACGATATCAATGTCTTAGCGCCAAAGCGGCCCAGTTTATGGCTATTCGATAGTAGCAATAAGCGTTCCTTCTCATTCAGTATGATCTTGCTGGACCGCTCAGGACGACTGAGAGTGGGAACCATTACATCCTAGTCATCGTTGACATGTGTACCCATTTCATTTTCTTATTGCCATTGGCCAATAAGTCAGCGGCCAAAGTTACCTATGCATTGGTTAAGATCTTCTGTAGCTACGGGTTTCCCAAAGTCATCCAATCTGACAATGGCTTGGAATTCAAGAATGACACCCTCATGCATC